TAGACACAGACAACTGGGCTTGGGAGCAAGCCTACTCAAGTGCCCCCATAGGAAGCGCTTTTCTATGGAGGCACTGGACAGAGATGAGGAGTAAGGAGCCCCAGCTGTGGACCGAGAAGAGGAGTTTTGGGGCTGCTCTGTGCAATGCCATTGCACAGAGCAGGTAAGCATGAACCTGCTTGCTATTTTTTTTAATTTATGTTTACAACTACAGTTGGAGGCAATGTAACTTTGTTTCCATCATTATAGAATGTCAACATTCATTTGCAATTTCATAGAGTGTATTATTAAAGAATAATCTTTGTTTTGTAGATCTTGCAGCAACTCTCTCCTGGCAGCGCTATTAGCATACAAGGACATTTATTAAACAAAAAAATGGAGGCTTTTAGTGGGAATAAGGAGGGAGAAAATTATTTTTTATATGGATGACGATTTCCTAGCAACATTTTCATCAATGAAGAATGACAAAATGTAAAAGCATATACAGTACAGGCATTTACTTTATTTCTTTCCTTAATGTGTACACTACATACCCTTCCATATATGATTCAAAGAGTGGTCAGCTGATTAATACACTTGCACTGTGAAAAGGAGCAGTAAAGTACACTCCGACGCAGTTCATCACAAATGACATCAGGGATTGATCCCTGTTGACGTAATTTGTGATGAAACACGTCGGGTGGAGCTTGGGCGTACATCACCACACACACGTGCACATCTGTGGCCATCTTGGAAGTGAGAACACGTGGATCTTTTTGGATAACAAAGCGCTGTAATTGATTTTAAACATTGTGTGTTTTTTTTGTTTAAATAAATTTTGAAGTGATTTTACACTATGGGAAGCTATTTCATTCTATGCACATGGTACCTATATGCCTGGCAATGCATGCACTGATGATCCATGTGTTGTGGGTGAACGTCATCTGAACCATCATTGGAGGTTATGAAGGAGGCTGGAGCGGTTGCCATATGATTGTTCTTGTTCCCATTTTGACCACTCTATATAATATGATGGTAAGCCTTCTTTGAGCACAAAGTGGGGTAACACGTGGTTCACTTGGATATGTTTGATCATCTAGCAACTGAGGATCTATGATTGCACTTCAAGATACCCTTTAGTGCTCTTTAGGCACTGGGACTTATATTTTTTCTCACTGTTTTTTTCAATAATTTTTCCACACATCTGACAGCGGGATCATTGCCAATGCATCACTGGGCCTGCTAAGAGGGCCTTGTTGCCATTAGCCTGTTTGCTGCTAGCAGAGACTGAGCTTATAGGGACTGGACAATTGACTACCATCCTATACCATTGTGTGCAGACTTTACTGGGACTGTATTTATGTGCACCACTGTAAAGACTGGGCCCAAACACCAGAAGGCTGAAGTTCCAGGGCAAAGGACTGTCACTTTAGATAGCATTGTAATAATAACATAATACACTACTATGCATATAAGTCAATACATATATATAAATACCAATGCAAGTGAATACATGTACCAATCTCAAACCACAATCTGCAAATAGAAAGTCCAATTTTAAGCTGAAAGCCAGCCATGCTTCAGAAAAAGACTTCACCTCTGTGTAACAAAATTCACCATAAATTTCCGTGGTTAACCATCACCAGGTGAACTCTCACCTTAAAAAGATGACCTCCCACCAAGTGTTCGGTCAACAGCGTTTTTGGTCCTGCAGGACTTGGATCACGTTACTTCGTCCATACGTAACGCGGCAAAGTGGTCTGGATAGTACACAGTGGTAATTGCAAACATTTCAATACCTATTTTATTGGCTGTATACCTCAGTGTGGGCTGGCAGCTTATACACGTGAGTGCAATACATATGTTGTTTAAGGTAAATAAAGTATTTTAAGGATAAGGCGCTATATGCAATATTCTTAGCATGTTATGGAGCTATTTTATATCACATTTATTTTGACTAGTTTTTTTCACCAATTCTACTTATTTTTGTGTATAGCACAAAGCGTTTGGGACAAAGGACTGGGTTTTTTGAATATCACTTTAGATAGGACTTCATTTGCTGCCTATAGTAAGGGGTACCACTGCAGACTAGGGTCTTAGCATACTGTAGTCTGCACTGTGCTCTAGCAGAATAGTATAATGGTTGCAAGAAAGCCATCATAGCACCATTTGCTATTGTGGTTAATGATGTACAAGCCGTTGTTTTATGCTGATTTGTGGATTATCAGATAGAGATTCATTCCATTGTAAAGTATTCTAAACTAAACTGCTACCAGCTAGTGAGTAGTCTGTCTAGTGAATTGTCACTTACTGATTTCCATATTGGTTTACTTATGAACGTATTGCCATTTTCTGTAGGCCACAAAAATACACCTAGTTCTGCTTTCACTAATCAGTCTGGTGTCTACTGATACTTAACTATAGTGTGGACAGAATATTTATCTTTTTGCTCTTAACGGTGTTATGGTTTCCAAGCTACATCACCTATCTTGTCTCCAAATATCACCCAAACTGTCCTTTCCACTCCTCCCAAGACCTCCTGCTCTCTAGCTTCCTTGTTCCCTCCCATGCTTATATCCAGGTCTTCTCCAGTGCCTCTCCCATCCTCTGGAAATCCCTACCTCTTGTTTTCTCCTACTCTATCCACTTTTAGGCAATCCCTGAAAACTCATCTCTTCAGGGAGGCCTAGCCTGCCTTCCGCTAACAACTGAATCTTTTATTTCAACCAATAGTCTATCCCCCACAGTTATTACCTTTTGTTCCACTTGCTCCTCTCTATTAGATTGCAAGCTCCCAGGAGCAGGACCCTCATACCCCTTTGGTATTGAATTGTATTGTTTTCTATATAGTCTCCCTTTATATTGTAAAGTGCTGCACAAACTGTTGGCGCTATATAAATCCTGTAAAATAATAATTTAACCAGATGTTTAGAGGAGCCTAGGTTGTTCACACAGAACAGAGAACCCGAACTACCAAGTGGCTCCTCTGAGGAGTAATGCTACACTATACAGTAATGGTGTATGTATTTGCAAAGTATGCAACAAGCACCTCACTTTTTGCTCAAGTAGATGAGACAATTTAGGGTTTTTTTTATGGCTAGTTTGAAAGTCTATTAGAGACCTTTTGTATGTTTTATCCATTAATTTAAAGCTGACCTCTGGGCTAGTGTAAAATACCAACTGTATTTTCCTAATAAATGCGTATTTTCTCTACAAGATGATAAATAGGGGGAATTACTTACCTTATTCTTCATTCCCCAGCAGCCAGATCTCTTCTCTCTCCAGTAATCCCAGGATGTGGTTGGACCCTTTCTGACTTCATGCACAATTTAGAACTGTTGGCCAAGCATTGTATATGAGAACTATAAAAAAAAAAAATGCCTATGGGAGTGAGGAGTAAGGCGAGTAATTCATCAGCACCTTGTAGTGGGACAGGGTGTTGATGGCTTGGGAGTCTTTCTGTGACTGTCTGTTCTAGGTTTATAATCAGCACTATTTACTGTCATTTTCTCTCTTTTAAGCGCAAATGAGACACATTTGGCTTCTGTGTAACAGTATGCCCAATGGACCTTTAATAAAGTGCCAGAAACAGCCGTTTTCCCTGAACAGACTCTTTTTATTTATAGTTTGGAGTCTGGGCAAAGTTTTGCCTTCACTTATACAGTGTCGAGAGACTGTGGCTATCCTATATGTATAAATTGATCATTCAGCTTTTATTCTGATGTACATTAATGTAAAATGTTTTGTAGATTGTATCAAAGATCTGCTTTAAATTTCTGTTACATATAAAAGCAAAAGTCTGCAGTATATAACCCTTCAAAATGCTTTATTTTACCATAGATATGAAATATGTAGCAAATATGTTGTCAGACTGAGTAGTTTCTTGTTTTCCCCACTGTAACATCTCCAGCATACAGTACGTAACGTAAATTATCCAGGTTATTTGCTACAGCCTTATAAACAGGACAGTTGGTTATATTTTTTGTCATATCTTAACATACGGGTAGAGCGGCCTATAAGACATATTTGCACTTGACACCATTGCTGGCAAACGTAAACCATGTTTGACAATGCAGCGATTTGTCTGTTTTATATTTAAACCAAACCACAATGTGAGCAGCAACATATTTCAACAACACAACAGAAATAGCATAGAATAAATAACAATAAACATAGAAATTTCCAACATTATATAAATTACATAAAATGTAGGACATTGTTCCAGATTTGCAAATGCTTATAAATATTTGAATATTGCATACATTTGATGTTCTTTATAGCTAATGTTTTAAACTATTTAACTAATTAATAAACATTTTTGGATTTAATGTTTTGGCAAGGCTGCACATCCAGTCTTGTGTTGTTCTTGGGGCACAGAATGACAGGAACTGTAACATAGCAAATAGTGACTGTACACATGTGGATTTATAAGAGATCATGAACACAATGCCTAGGGACTAAGTTACAGACTTGGTGAGTGAGCAGCACAACTCCTCTATAACATACCATCTTTATGTTCCCTCAAGATCTATCATGTTGAACAGGGGGCCAATAATCCAAATATATGAGAAAACTGTGACATTTTAGTTCACGTTATGCTAAATCCAACAATTCACATTTCAATCACTTCTTATGGTAACTAGTTTCAGTTAGCATACCCATATTATCTTTAAAACTGGTGGAAACTGAACCTCCAAGTACTAAAAAAGACCAATGAGAAGAAACTCATTTCCAGGTCAACAACCAAAAGATGATCTAGTAATTAACATCTCAAGTTCAGGCAGGACTATTTTAATAGCACATCTTTTAATAACTCTCTCAATTCAGTGTCCACAAAGGTAACAATGGCTAGCATCTCTGGTCTCCAGCTGCACAGTACATCCCTCAAGTGGCTGCATTCACAACGTTAATGAGAATTACATTCCGCTTCTCTGGTTTTGCTAGATAGTTGCTCTCCATTCTTTTGCTTCTTCATATTTCTTGCAGGAAGTCAACGGGAAAAAGCCCCACCTTGCGTCCTGTCAGAACTTTGATTTGTAGCCATTTACTTCCTCTCCTTTTTGTACAACAATCTAGACAATGAACAAAAAAAAAAATAAACTATGCTTAAGTTTGATGAATCAAGCCACAGTCAACATAAGCTATAGAGCTAGGTCCATTTTTTCACACAGGCAGGTATTAGTGAGGCAGGCTAGGCCAACCATGGTTTACCAGGAGCTTAGTTTCCATAAAAGTGAAAGATGACTGCTGATACTGCCACCAAAAATGCAGTGCTGTTGTGGGTCACATGATCCTATATGCCAGATTTGGGTTGCATGATTTAGAAATGGAGCTGTGCAGGACCTTATTTGTTAATTATGTTTTTTCCTCCCTGTACAATTAAAATACAACTAAAGGCATTTTTTTTAGTTTTGGATAGAGTCAATATGGATTAGAACCCTTGTCAATTGTTACTGCTGTCTGTGCCCCTGTTAGGGAGATTCACCTACTCTGTTTGTCCTGTTTATCATTATCGCTGAAAGTGAAAGTAAAAGAATATCCAAAATTTTGGGTTGCCCCCAGAAAAGTAATATAGGGGAAATCTTCCAATGAAGACAGTAGACTTGGGGGTCCCCTAGGGATTCATATAATTTCCAGAGATTCACCCTCACTTGATTTGTCTATGGGACAAGACATGAAGGGAATTCGTCCCAATGGGATGCAGATGGCAAAAAATAAACTGACTGGGGTTATAACCCTCCCTTACTCTATCCAACATGGAAAAAAAATTGTTTTGCCTATAGTTTTACTTAAAAGTGGAGCTAAAGGTGAAGTAAAACTTTTTTTAGTTTTAGTTTGGAGTACAGAGGGATTAGAACACATACCAGGTTTTATTGCTGTCTGTGTCCTAGTTAAGGAGAATCAACCTCCCCATTTGTGCTGGTGTCTGCCAGAATAGGAATAAAGGGGAAATTAATATTTATAAGCCGCTTGGTCCACCTTGTAACCTCCTTTTGGGCTTTCTTTTTCCCTTGTTGTTAAAGCTTAGGTCCACCTTAAAGAAGATTGTGGCCCAACAAAAGTTAGTTTTTGATGCAGTTGGCTAGGCTTTAAATATGCTGTGATCCTGAGCGGGTAAACTCCCCTTACTACTGACTATCTGACCATGGCAGATATAGTTTGGCAATTTGCTGAACTTCCTAATTTTACCCAACATCTGAATGATGAAGCCAGCACCAAGATTGGAGAATAAGTGTTGTAAGCAAAGTTCCACATTATGGCATTCTGGGGATTCAACCTAAAATTAGGAGTTGAGTCCAGTATACACAGATGGATAGGCTTGTTTCTAGCACTTGGTTTTTAAATAAGGTTGCACTTTATTGAGAAAAGGGAATGATCCTTCTGCATTTAGAAACATGATGAATAATCCTTACTGATCTTTAATTAACCTGACACATAGGTCCATTATAACTTACAAGTCTTCCCTTGCACAGTCCAGTTAATGTATAAAATGGAGCAATTGCAGCTCAGAAAGCACTGTATGTGCTTCACTACAAAAGTGTGTGCATGTGTTAGTGCTTAGTGTAAACCAGCATTCTTGATGAGAAATGCAGGTCTCCAGTTTATTTTTCTCATATACTGCACATCTCCTCTTAAACAGACAATACCTTGCCAGCAGAGATTAGGAAAAAATGTTTACTGTACAAGTTAGAAATACCTATAGAATACAGTGAGGAACAGAAGTATTTGAACACCCTGCGATTTTGCAAGTTCTCCCACTTAGAAATCATGGAGGGGTCTGAAATTCACATTGTAGGTGCATTCCCACTCTGAGAGACAGAATTTAAAAACAAAATTCAGGAAATCACATTGTATGATTTTTAAAGAATGTCTTTGCCTTGCACTGCTGAACATAAGTATTTGAACACCTAAGAAACAGCAAGAATTTTGGCTCTCAAAGACCTGTTACTGTGCCTTTAAAAAGTTCACCTCTACTCCACTCATTAATTTAACTTAGTAGCACCTGTCTGAGCTCTTTAAAGACACCTGTCTACCCCACAGTCAGTCAGATGCCAACTACTACCATGGGCAAGACCAAAGAGCTGTCAAAAGACACCAGAGACAAAATTGTGGACCTTCACAAGGCTGGAAAGGGCTACGGGGCAATTGCTAAGCAGCTTGGTGAAAATAGATCAACTGCTGGAGCAATTGTTAGAAAATGGAAGAGGCTAAAGACGACTGTCAGTCTCCCTCGGACTGGGGCTCCATGCAAGATCTCACCTCGTGGGGTATCACTGATGATAAGAAAGGTGAGAAATCAGCCCAGAACTACAAGGGAGGAGCTGGTCAATGACATGAAGAGAGCTGGGACCACAGTTTCAAAAGTCACAGTCGGTAGAACACTACGCCATCATGGTTTCAAATCATGCATTGCACGGAAGATCCCCTGCTGAAGTCATCACATGTCCAGGCCCGTCTGAAGTTTGCCAATGACCATCTGGATGATCCAGAGGAGGCATGGGAGAAAGTCATGTGGTCAGATGAGACCAAAGTAGAACTTTTTGGTCTAAACTTCACTTGTCATGTTTAGAGGAAAAAGAAGGATGAGTTGCATCCCAAGAACACAATCCCTACTGTGAAGCATGGGGGTAGTAACATCATGCTTTGGGGGTGCTTTTCTGCGAAGGGGACAGGACAACTGCACTGTATTAAGGAGAGGATGAATGGGGCCATTTATTGTGAGATTTTGAGCAACAACCTCCTTTCCCCAGTCAGAAGATTGAAGATGGGTCGTGGCTGGGTCTTCCAACATGACAACGACCTGAAGCACACAGTCAGGATAACCAAGGAGTGGCTCCATAGGAAGCATATCAAGGTTCTGGAGTGGCCTAGACAGTCTCCATACCTAAATCCAATAGAATATCTTTGGAGGGAGATGAAACTCCGTGTTGCTCAGTGACAGCCCCGAAACCTGACAGATCTAGAGGAGATCTGTGTGGAGGAGTGGGCCAAAATCCCTGTTGCAGTGTGTGCAAACCTGGTCAAGAACTACAGGGAACGTTTGACCTCTGTAATTGCAAACAAAGGCTTCTGTACCAAATATTAACACTGATTTTCTCAGGTGTTCAAATACTTATGTTTAGCAGTGCAAGACAAATACATTCTTTAAAAATCATACAATGTGATTTCCTGTTTTGTTTTTTTTATTTCTGTCTCTCAAAGTGGGAATGCACCTACAATGTGAATTTCAGACCCCTCCATGATTTCTAAGTGGGAGAACTTGCAAAATCGCAGGGTGTTCAAATACTTCTGTTCCTCACTGTATATGTTATATATTGTTTTTCCCTCTCCTATAAAAACTAATGCAGAAAAAGGTCAGGATATACTAACTTGATCTTTCTTCAACGTAATCTGTCCAATCTCTCTGTTTCCAACAAATGACCGAGTCACTTTGTAAACTCTCTCCCCAGCACGCACCCGTATGATGTAGTTAGCAGGGAAAAAGCCAGCTTTCTCCCCTATCTTTCCCTAAAGGAAATAAAGAAATAATACATTATTTTATTGAACCTTTATTGACTAAATGGTGGGATTAAAAGAGTCAGCAGCAACAGGTTCTTTTGTCTAATGCGTGAACTGCTTCAAGTCCAAGTTAGATATTACTGCTGATAAATTACCTTTTAAGAGTAGCTACAAATTGTTCTTTGAGTATGGCAAGAGAGCTGACAACTCTGCTCATACCTTTAGGTTATGATATTGTGTGCTGCAGCATTTACATCAACTGAATGCATCCCATAGATTGCACTATTGGGGATACGTATGCACTAAATATTACTTACTCTCCACCATTCTTCATTAGAGTCATCAATAACTGTAATTCTGTCTCCAGCCCTAAGAGGAAGTTCAAAGTGTTTTAGTATAAGAAAAAACAGAAGAAGCAAACTTTTGGTTATAATATGTTGTCAAACTTATTTTGTAATGAAAAGTAGAAAACTTTTTGAAGGAGCAACCTGGTCTTAGAAGTACAATAATGAATAGTCCTATTTTGATAACATTCAAATAGTTTATATTTGAATAGTAACTACAGATTATATGATAGAAATTAAAAACAAAACACTGTGCTACCAAAAAAATGTATATCAAAATGTAAATATAACCTCAAATTAACACAAAATAATAAAATACAGATGTGTGTGAATGTATGTAAATATACCTATATATGTATGTAAATAAATATCTTGTTGCCGCTATTCACTGTTTTGTGTTCCCACACAAAAAATCTTACAAACCATATATAAAAGTGAAGCGTAACATAAAACTTCTCTACTTCTAAACCCTTATATCATATTTAAGTGAATATCATAAAAAATAGTTAGAACATAGGCCATAAACTGTGCAAAGGGACTATGAGGAAGTCGCTGTACGTAGTGACGTAGCACATCATAGGTGGCACAATGTGACATCAGCGCGCCCAAAACATTGTGAGTCACCATTTTACCATATCTCTCCTATTAATGTTCATACTTAAGGAAACAGCTTGTCATTTTAAAACAAATGGGACTCAGTGCACTGGATTATAGAGTGCACCTTGTTTGTGAGTAATGTTTTAATACTAAAAGTTTAAGCAGTTGTATACAACATTATGAGATCACCTATTCCTTTTATATCCTGTTGAGTGGAGTTTTCCATGTGATTGGGAATAGCGAACCCTGGAAGGATCGTGGTACTTTCTGTAACCCAGTAATTTGGGAAGGCACATTTTGACTTTCACCTTATGGTGGATCATGTCTTGGAGGTAAGAGTCAGTGGAGACAGGTGGTGCACAGTGGTGGAGCCATTTGCACTTGTGTGTGGAGCAGTACACATTTTCATTGATTTACAGTGGAGCCACAGGAATACTCAGAAGATATCCATGTGGACTTCATTTGTCACACAGAGATTAGGCTCTTTATTATAGCATGGGATTGCACTTTATTTGTATCTTTTTGGATGATATATAACACATTTTTTGCACAGTTTATGTCCTATGTTATGAAATTGTGTAATTACTGATTGTTTAATACAAACTCTTCCTAAATTTAAAGCAGAGCTACACCCAAAAGCAGAAGCTCTGCTTGTCTGCCTCCTCACACCCCTCCGCTGCCACATTTGGCACCTTTTGGGGGGGAGCAGGTACCTGGTTTTGACAGGTACCTGCTCCCACTTCCCACTTCCAATCTTACAGACTACATAGGGAGAGATTAGGATCAATTAATAAACTGTACTTTAATTATGTGTGCTAGTTCTTTGGGAAATCAACCCCTGTTTTTTATTCTTGGGGGGTTTTTGTCTTTCATTTTATTTTGTGGTTGATTTGTGGTTAGTTGTTGGCTTTAGCTGCTGTCTGGTCCATAGTAAACTTTATTTTTGAGGGTCTTTTGTTTAAGGGGATTTTTTTATGGCTTTTATTTAATTTGGGGAATATTAACTTTTAGTTTTCATTGCTTTTGCAGGTTTGTATTTTTATTTGATGTTGATAGAGCCTTTTTCCAAGTTTGAAGTGCTTCGAACAGTCTGTTCACTTGTTCTGATCATCTGTTCTTGGACCTGCTCTATGTTTGCAACATGTCACTGCATTGTTTTAAAGAAAACAAACTCAGTGCAAGAGCGGTGTGCACCTAAACCACCTCACATTATATAACTCACATTTGCCACACACCTCTAGCCTTATAGATAAAATTAAAGTTAGGCCTGCTATTACTGATCAAAACTGTCCTGCTGCAGCCCATATACAATGCTGTATCCTCAGCAGTATCTTATTTCTTGTGGTAAAACACCAGCCTGTGTGGTTTGTCTCTAGTAAATTTGAGCCTAGCCTTACTCATTAAATTTATCCTCCTGCTAGTCAATTGTACACTACTGTATCATCTGTGGTCTTTTAATTCTAATCCTAGATTGTAAGCTCCAAGGAGAAGGGCCCTCCTTTCCCTCTTGTATTGAGCTGTATTGTTGCTGTATTGTCTCCCGTAATATTGTAAAGCGCTGAGCAAACTGTTGGTGCTATATAAATCCTGTATAATAATAATAATATAATAATAATTCTTGCAGTAAATCACTTGTCTGTACTCCTTTTGGGCGAAGGGGGATTGACTAAAACTGGAGCACAAAGAATCTGTTGCAACTGTGCTTAATAACCAATCAGCTTCTAGGTTTTATTGTCACAACTTAACTGAAAGCTTAACTTTAGAAGTTAGAAGCTCTTTGGTTATTATACACAACTACACCAGATTCTGTGTGCTCTATTTTTAGTAAATCACCCTCTTTGTCTCTAGTAAATTTCGGCCTAGCCTTGCAGTTGAAAATTGTCCTGCTACTAGCCAATTTTACATTTCTGTGCTATCTGCTGTTTCTTAATTCTTGTAGTAAAACACCTGCCTGTCCTGTTTTTCTCTGGTACTTTTAAGCTATTTCTCCCACATTAAAATTGTCCTGCTGCTGGCTAAATTAACTCTGTTGTTTCATCTGTGGTTTTTTCATTCTTAAAAAAAGAAGTATGTTCAATGCTATTTTGTCCCTATTTCTCCTATGGATCATAGGGGTGCACTGTGTTCTGCACTCCTGTGGACCATTTTAAGCTGGTCCAGGCACAGGAAAGATCCCGACTTTAAAGTCAGTGTCCACCCAGATGCCTGGACTAGCATCTGGTTTAGCCTCTCAGCGTGCTGCTGAAAGGCTGAGCCTGCAGATCCCGCCCCCTGCACAGCCTGGAGCTCAGTGAGCAGAGGAGGGGCAGAGCAGAGAGCCAGTGACTGACAGTCACCATCTCTCTGCAGACTGAATACCAAGAACTGAGAGATCAGTGGTCTTTGATCGCTAAGTTCTCAGTGTCGAGGTGGCAGGGAGAGCTGCAGCTGGGATCGGTGCTGAAACCATCCAGGTGAGTATGATTGTTTATTTTTTTCTATTCCTGAATTTTCTTTTAATGACAGCTTGACATAATTGGCCAATGACAAGGCAATTATTCTTTAGTACGAACAGGGACAACCACAGTGAATTTCTATTTGCCACTCAAAGTAGGTCTATTAGCATTTGATGAAAAAGCATACATCTCTGTCAAACCTACATGGAAAAAAAGCTTTTTCTCAAACTGAAGTTAATTGGATTGGGGTGCTGCTTCTGTATGTAAACCAAACTAATTGTAAAATAAGTAAATTCCAAAGCAAAATATGTATCGGCATTGTATGTGTTTATGCTGTTGCTGAGACTGGGCATAAAAATTGTACTGTCCCCTAACACCGCATACAGCTGTAAGGCATTCCCCAAGCATGTTATTTAAATAATATGTGTTTTCATTGTTGCCCTCACAGCTGCATGAAAAGACCCCCTCCCAGCTGTACAGTATTTTTTAATGTGTTTTGCATTGGTAAATGACAGTGCCCAGCTTTTCAAGCAGTCTTTGACAATAATTTGATAGCAAACATTTAAGACGCCCCCCATATACTATCTCAGATAGACAGATTAGCCCATCATTAATTTAAACTTTTATTGAAAAACTGTTGTTTGGGCAACACAAACACTTAATATTAGAGTAATTTTCATGTAGGGGGTGGAGTTGGTAGCAAATATGTAAGCAGCATGCTTAAAAAAAAACATCCATGTGATATTGTTCTGCACTTTTTGATCAACTGAAAATATTGATCAAAAATACAATCTATCATTTAAAAATGTAAACAGTCTATTAGAATGATCACTTAATTGACCTTAATTACAAATTTGTTTGAGCAATCAGACTGACAAACTTCTGTCTTAGCGGATCACCTTAGCAGAGTCAAAATTGATTGAGAGCTCCCTAAAGTGATCCAATGGAGGATCTTTGGTTTGTGATTTTTACTGAATTCTGTCATTCTGGTTGCATTGAATGGTATACTGCATCATTATGTGGATACGTGTGGCCACCTTAACAGGTTCGAGATATCCGATGACAAACTTCTGTCTTAGCGGATCACCTTAGCAGAGTCAAAATTGATTGAGAGCTCCCTAAAGTGATCCAATGGAGGATCTTTGGTTTGTGATTTTTACTGAATTCTGTCATTCTGGTTGCATTTGAATATACTGCATCATTATGTGGATACGTGTGGCCACCTTAACAGGTTCGAGATATCCAGATAAATCTTAAAGTGGATGGTGCCATCTTTAGCCTTTATTTAGATCTGCAGTTGCCATAGCTCTGCCCACATGACTATCTATGACCGCAATCGTTTGAGAGCATGAAAGTTCAAAAGAGAGCTGATATAAACTCACTGGCAACTGGGGCAGTTATCACTAGAGGCATGCCCATGAATGCAGCATATACTATGCATGTGATAGCAGGCAGAATATGAATGAAAACACTGCGGGAAACAACATTACTAAGTTTGATTAGAATTTAATAACATACTGTAAACTGAACATTTTTAAATGAAAGTTAATGCATTCAAAGCATTAACTGTTTCCCCAAAGAAAGCTAAAAAAAATGTGCCAGCGTATTGGTAAGCCTCTTCACCACAGCCAACTCCAGATTCTGCTTCCCTTGAACTGCTGGCTTGTAGAGTCTCACTAAGGGAAGGGGAGTGATAGGCTGCCACAGCTGCTATTTAATTTGCTAGAGCAATGGAGGGGGTGGCAGCAGGGGAGTGGCTTGCCAGACACTATGTTATTCTATCGGCGAATAACAATGTGGCACAGGTCCCAGCCACGACCGCGCAAACTGGGAGGCAAGGCAGTGGTACCAGGACCGGCTGAAAGATGAGGAAAGAAACATTTCTAAGGACTACCATCACTCTTATCAGATAAGTTTGGATCTCTTTTTAAAATAAAAAAAAAAAGTTAATGTCACTTTAAGCTTTCTTTGGGGAAACAGTTAAATTGTTGGGTTAATGTTTCTTTTAATGACCAGTCAAGGCAGTATACCGCAATAGGACCATTAAAACAAATACTTACTGGAAATCAAGGTCATCTTTTTCTAGTGCTTTAAACCGGTAAAGAGCAACAAAATAATGAGACTGCATAAACCCTGGCTGTGTCTTCTTATTCTGCAACAGTCAAATAAAATAGAGTGAATTAGAAACTATTTCTGTCAAAGCAGGTATTCACTGACATCTGGACAATGCAGGAATGGTGTGGTTGAGAAAGTATATAGCTGTGTTTTTATATACAGTAATTGATATCATGGATTTGGATAAATGTATTGTAATACATAATGGACTGAGGTAAAAGCCCTTAACATTTTTTAGTAATTCAGCATCTACTCAGTGGCGTATCATCCATGGGTGCAGGGTGCTCACTGAACACGGCCCCGAGAGGGGGGCCCCACTGTGCTGTGAACACCCTGCACCCATGGATGAGATGTATCAGGAGCTAAGTCGGGGATGATCAGTGCAGTGGTGGGGACAGTTACAAGCAGAAATCTCCTTGTATGGCTGGAAGCTGCATCTCCTGCTTTCACTCCTGTGGCTTTCAGCTGCTTCACTGAAAGCCATACAAGGAGATTTCTGCTTGTAACTGTGTCCACCGCTGCGTCAATCATCCCCTCTTCCTTCCTTCCTTCCTTCCTCCTGTTCCTTCCTCCACTCCCCCCTCCCCTTCCTTCCTTCCTTCCTTCCTTCCTTCCATCCTCCACTCCCCCCCCTCCCCTTCCTTCCTTCCTCCACTCCCTTCCTCCCCTTTCTTCCCTTTTTCCTTCCCGTACCATGCTAATTCTTTTGACTGAGCCAGTGAGCTGGGGACCAGCTATGTAAGTTCAACCTTATTATTATTATTATTATTATACAGGATTTATATAGCGCCAACAGTTTGCTCAGCGCTTTACAATATAACAGGAGACAATACAGCAACAATACAGTTCAATACAAGAGGGAAAGGAGTGCCCTGCTCCTTGGAGCTTACAATCCCTCTTTCCTTTTCCTTCTCCTTCCCTCTTTCCTTTTCTTTCTCCTTCCCTCTTTCCTTTTCCTTCCCTCTTTCCTTTTCCCTTTTCCTTTACCTTCCCTCTTTCCTTTTCCCTTTTCCTTCTCCTTCCCTCTTTCATTTTCCCTTTTCCTTCACCTTCCCTCTTTCCCTTTTCCCTTTTCCTTCTCCTTCCCTCTTTCATTTTCCCTTTTTCCTTCACCTTCCCTCTTTCACTTTTCCTTCACCTTCCCTCTTTCCCTTTTCCTTCACCTTCCCTCTTTCCCTTTTCCCTTTTCCTTCACCTTCCCTCTTTTCCTTTTCCTTCTCCTTCCCTCTTTCCTTTTCCCTCTTCCTTCACCTTCCCTCTTTCCTTTTCCCTTTTCCTTCTCCTTCCCTCTTTCCTTTTCCTTCCCTCTGTCCTTTTTCTTCCCTCTTTCCCTTTCATTCTCTCCTTCCCTCCTTCCTATTTTGTCCTCCAGCAATAGCATTCATGAGTGCAGCCAGGGAAGTTTAGTTTCGTGTCATCAGCTTATGGTAGTAGTTGGTCGTATGTGAGGACATCTGATGTAAGGGGGACTGTGATAAGGATGTGTGATATAAGGGGATACAGGTTCTTTTTATTCATTCCAATCTAATGACAGCTCAATATACACTAGTGCTTCCTGTTCACTCCCTACTGACACTGTCCACTGCTCCCACAAATCATTGCAAAAAAAAAATACAAAAATAAATTGTAAAAAATAAAACCCACTCCATTGCTCTACTGGCACCATCCACTGGCCACCCAAAAGCATTATGAAAAAAATATAGAACTACTGACACCATCCACTGTCCTCATGACACCATCCTGAACATACTACCCACTGTCGTACAATCCACAGTCCTCTCCCTGTACATACTACCCACAGTCATACACTCCACACTGTGCATTCACTATTTGACATTACCACATTCTGCACTATGTCAGTCATCTCAGACACTATTTACCTACACGCCTTTTAAGCCACACCCATTTTAAAGCGCCATTTAAACCACACCCACTTTTTGCCATGGCATGCTTCGCGTGATGCATTTTTTCTTTATCACTGACTAGGGCCCACTTTTGATCTAGCACACAGGCCCGCTGATTTCATGATACACCCCTGCATCTACTCCACACTTTCAGAGTCAAACTCCTTAAACAAGTATGAGGTGGTATCAAGTTTTGAGGCCAGCTCTGTTTACAAGAAAGTACTTTGTTTATCTAGATTTACACCTTCAAAATAGTCCCTGCAACACATCGCTCCCAGCATTCCTGCCACTTCTGGAATGTGCGCTGGATCTCTGCAATGTTGCAATTATGGTGACCTTTGAGCTGGGTCTTCATCTTTGGGAAGAGAGTGAAGTCCACAGGAGCCAAATCTGGTGAGTAGGATGGGAACGTAAGTGAGATCATTACAGCCGGGGGCCGAATATGGCAGCCACATAGTGCATGTGGAAATCACGCAAGAGGATTGCCTGAACTGTTCCGTATGACACACCAATAATGGCAGCAATGTTGTGGATTGCTCTCTGACGATCATCATGCACAAGCTGCTAAATGGTTTCCATATTGACATTTTTCAGAGCTTGAATTTGTTGAAGATCTTCCTGATTGCTCGTCATCTTCCAGTGATATTCTTCCGCTCATGAAGCGTGGGTGCCACTCAGAACATCTCAAACAACTCATTGCAGTATCACCGTAAACTTGCCAAATCATGTCAAATGTGTCTGTGGCAGATTTGACCAGTTTCGTGCAGAATTTCATGTTTGCTCTTTGTTCTAACTTTCTGTCCATGATGAAATAGCGTGTCTTTTGGCACACTGACTTATGAAGGTCGGTGCCCCCTGTGACTTCGCATGTAGCCTTGTGCTGCCATCTGTTGGCATGTTATAAAAGTAGTCTCAAAATTTTTTCATACCACCTCATATATTTCACACAGGTCCCCCTCTCTCTTAGCACACACAATCCATAATATTAACCAGAGCTTTAATTTTTAGAGGAAACTGTGCATCTGTCATTTGCAGCAACTCTACATTACATAACACCTAAAATTCTGGTTTAGTAATGCTAAATCCTTTTGACAAATAGTAAAACTGTCAGATAATTTAAGTCTGGTTTTCATTGCTATAAATACTCAAAGTATAATATATTAATAGTTTGTACAATAGTTTGAACAAGGATTGTCGAAGACCTAAAAAATTTAAAGTAGCATTTAAAGTGGTTCTAAAGGCTGAAGGTAAAAAACTTGATCCTGATCTCAATCCAGTGATGTGCACAAGAGCATCTGTTCTCCCAGCTCTCTCTCTCCTCATTGGCTCAGAAGCAGCAGCAGGAGCCATTGGCTTTGTCAATCAAAGCCAGCGAGGAGGGAGCAGGGGCAGAATCAAAGCCCTACTCTGTGTGTCTATGCAGAGCTCTGGAGTAAGTACACAAAATACTCCCATAGCAATCAGCTTGCTATGGGGGCACTCAGCAGGGAGAGGAAGCAGAAGCGCCAGCGGGGGACCCTAGAAGAAGAGAATCAAGGCTGTTCTGTGCAAAACCATTGCACAAAGCAGATAAGTATGATATATTTGTTTTTTGTTTTTTTTTTCTAATTTTACCTTTAGTATCACTTTAACATTAAACTAGAACTAGAACTTTCCTATTAAAATAAAAGGTACAATGGCACTTAGATGTGTGTGCATCTGCACTTATATTTTTTCCTTAGTCCTCCTGAAAAGTCTCACATATACTGGTTGATCCTGCAAGTGAAGTCATGTAGCTTCTTGTGATGGGGTGGCAATGCTACTGCTCTGCTCTTTAATTCAGAGCAGGATTGTCACCCTCATGTAGGTCTGCTTGAACTACAGTGGGATAAAATTATGTCGCAGGGAGCGTGGCTATCAGCATTACCACTGGATATTTACAAAGCGTGTAGCTTATCAATCAGCAGGCACTAGGCCTGTGCAAATAATGTCAGTGCTGTGGCCCACAACCACCAGTCAGATTTTAATTTTGTAGTAGGATCATGGAAAGTGAAAATCTGTGGTTGCTGCCACAATGGGTTATACTTAATCATAGTAAGTAGAGATGAGCGAATTATTCAAAAATTCGATTCGGCTGATTCGCCGAATTTGAGGAAGAAATTTGATTCGATGCGAATTTATTCGCTGCGAATTTAACTTATAAAAAGGGTTTCTATGCTTCAGAGAGCCTTTATTAGTGCAGAACACTGTACCTTTAATTTAAATGCCCTTGGAGATGAGGAAGGAGAAGGAGAAGGAGAAGGATGAGAAGAAGGAGAAGGAGAAGGATGAGAAGAAGGAGAAGGAGAAGGATGAGAAGAAAGGAGAAGGATGAGAAGGAGAAGGATGAGAAGAAGGAGAAGGATGAGAAGAAGGAGAAGGATGAGAAGAAGGAGAAGGATGAGAAGAAGGAGAAGGAGAAGGAGAAGGATGAGAAGAAGAAGGATGAGAAGAAGGAGAAGGAGAAGGATGAGAAGAAGGAGAAGGATGAGAAGAAGGAGAAGGATGAGAAGAAGGAGAAGGAGAAGGATGAGAAGAAGGAGAAGGATGAGAAGAAGGAGAAGGATGAGAAGAAGGAGAAGGATGAGAAGAAGGATGAGAAGAAGGAGAAGGATGAGAAGAAGGAGAAGGATGAGAAGAAGGAGAAGGATGAGAAGAAGGATGAGAAGAAGGAGAAGGATGAGAAGAAGAAGGATGAGAAGAAGAAGAAGGATGAGAAGAAGGAGAAGGATGAGAAGAAGAAGAAGGATGAGAAGAAGAAGAAGGATGAGAAGAAGGAGAAGGATGAGAAGAAGAAGAAGGATGAGAAGAAGAAGAAGGATGAGAAGAAGGAGAAGGATGAGAAGAAGAAGAGATGAGAAGAAGAAGAAGGATGAGAAGAAGGAGAATTCCAAGCCGGCAAAAAGTGTATCTATTTGTTTCCATTTATGGAAACAAATAGATACAATGTTTCAACCGCTGTAAAATGTGAATGTCAGAGAACTGTCAGAAATAGCGGAGCTCTGCAGATACACTTAGCGTAGCTCTGCAGATACACTTTTTGCCGGCTTGGAATTATTCTTATTTTCATCCTACTTCTTCTTCTTCTTCTTCATCCTCATCCTCAGAAGAGGATGAGGATGAGGATGAGGATGAGGATGAAGAAGAAGAAGTAGGATGAAAATAAGAAGAATTCCAAGCCGGAAAAAGTGTATCTGCAGAGCTCCTCTATTTCTGACAGATACACTTTTTTCCCGGATTGGAATTCTTCTTATTTTCATCCTACTTCTTCTTCTTCTTCTTCATCCTCATCCTCTTCTTCTTCTTCTGAGGATGAGGATGAGGATGAAGAAGAAGAAGAAGTAGGATGAAAATAAGAAGAATTCCAAGCCGGCAAAAAGTGTATCTGCAGAGCTCCGCTAAGTGTATCTGCAGAGCTCCGCTATTTCTGACAGTTCTCTGACATTAACATTTACAGCGGTTGAAACATTGTATCTATTTGTTTCCATAAATGGAAACAAATAGATACAATGTTTCAACCGCTGTAAATGTGAATGTCAGAGAACTGTCAGAATTAGAGGAGCTCTGCAGATACACTTTTTGCCGGCTTGGAATTCTTCTTATTTTCATCCTACTTCTTCTTCTTCTTCTTCATCCTCATCCTCAGAAGAAGAAGAAGAATGAGAAGAAGAATGAAAAGAAGAAGAAGAATGAAAAGAAGAAGAAGAAGAATGAAAAGAAGAATGAAAAGATTCTTCTTCTTCTTCTTTTCATTCTTCTTTTCATTCTTCTTCTTCTTTTCATTCTTCTTCTTTTCATTCTTCTTTTCATTCTTCTCATTCTTCTTCTCATTCTCTTTTCATTCTTCTTCTCATTCTTCTTTTCATTCTTCTCATTCTTCTTTTCATTCTTCTTCTTCTTCTCATTCTTCTTTTCATTCTTCTCATTCTTCTTTTCATTCTTTTCATTCTTCTTCTTTTCATTCTTCTTTTCATTCTTCTACTTCTTCTTTTCATTCTTCTTTTCATTCTTCTCATTCTTCTTCTCATTCTTCTTTTCATTCTGTTTCTCATTCTTCTTTTCATTCTTCTCATTCTTCTTTTCGTTCTTCTTTTCATTCTTCTTTTCATGAAGAAGAAAAGAAGAAGGAAAAAAGAAGAATGAGAAGAATGAAAAGAAGAAGGAAAAGAAGAATGAAAAGAAGAAGAATGAAAAGAAGAAGAAGAATGAAAAGAAAAAGAAGAAGAATGAAAAGAAGAAGAAGAAGAAGAAGAAGAATGAAAAGAAAAAGAAGAAGAATGAAAAGAAGAATGAAAAGAAGAATGAAAAGAAGAAGAAGAATGAAAAGAAGAAGAAGAAGGAAAAGAAGAAGAAGAAGAAGAATGAAAAGAAGAAGAAGAAGAAAAGAAAAGAAGAATGAGAAGAATGAAAAGAAGAAGAAGAATGAAAAGAAGAATGAAAAGAAGAAGAAGAATGAAAAGAAGAAGAATGAAAAAAGAAGAAGAATGAAAAGAATGAAAAGATTCTTCTTCTTCTTCTTTTCATTCTTCTTTTCATTCTCCTTCTTTTCATTCTTCTTTTCATTCTTCTTCATTCTCATTCTTCTTTTCATTCTTCTTCTCATTCTTCTTTTCATTCTTCTTCTTCTTTTCATTCTTCTTCTTTTCATTCTTCTTTTCATTCTTCTTTTCATTCTTCTTCTCATTCTTCTTCTCATTCTTCTTTTCATGAAGAAGAAAAGAAGAATGAGAAGAATGAAAAGAAGAAGAATGAAAAGAAGAATGAAAAGAAGAATGAAAAGAAGAATGAGAAGAAGAAGAAGAAGAATGAAAAGAAGAATGAAAAGAAGAATGAGAAGAATGAAAAGAAGCATGAGAAGAATGAAAAGAAGAAGAAGAAGAATGAAAAGAAGAATGAAAAGAAGAAGAAGAATGAAAAGAAGAAGAAGAAGAATGAAAAGAAGAATGAAAAGAAGAAGAAGAATGAAAAGAAGAAGAAGAATGAAAAGAAGAATGAAAAGAAGAATGAGAAGAATGAAAAGATTCTTCTTCTTCTTCTTTTCATTCTTCTCATTCTTCTTTTCATTCTTCTCATTCTTCTTTTCATTCTTCTCATTCTTCTTTTCATTCTTCTCATTCTTCTTTTCATTCTTCTTCTCATTCTTCTTTCATTCTTCTTTTTCTTTTCATTCTTCTTTTCATTCTTCTCATTCTTCTTTTCATCCTTCTTCTCATTCTTCTTTTCATTCTTCTTCTTTTCATTCTTCTTTTCATTCTTCTTCTTCTTCTTTTCATTCTTCTCATTCTTCTTCTTCTTCTTTTCATTCTTCTTCTTCTTCTTCTTCTCATTCTTCTTTTCCTTCTTCTTCTCATTCTTCTTTTCATTCTTCTTCTTCTTTTCATTCTTCTTCTTCTTCTTTTCATTCTTCTTCTTCTTTTCATTCTTCTTCTTCTTTTCATTCTTCTTCTTTTCATTCTTCTTTTCATTCTTCTCATTCTTCTTTTCATTCTTCTTCTTCTTTTCATTCTTCTTTTCATTCTTCTCATTCTTATTTTCATTCTTCTTTTCATGAAGAAGAAAAGAAGAATGAAAAGAAGAATAAAAAGAAGAAGAAGAATGAAAAGAAGAATGAAAAAAAGAATGAAAAAGAAGAATGAAAAGAAGAATGAGAAGAAGAATGAAAAGAAGAATGAGAAGAAGAATGAAAAGAAGAATGAGAAGAAGAATGAGAAGAAGAATGAAAAGAAGAATGAGAAGAAGAATGAAAAGAAGAATGAGAAGAAGAATGAGAAGAAGAATGAGAAGAAGAATGAAAAGAAGAATGAAAAGAAGAATGAAAAGAAGAATGAAAAAAGAAGAATGAAAAGAATTAGTATTCCAGTACAGCAAAAAAAGTGTATCTGCAGAGAGCTCCGCTATTTCTGACAGTTCTCTGACAGTTCCTTCACATTTACAGCGGTTTAAACATTGTATCTGTTTCCGAATAAAAACATCTGTATCCTAAACGGAAACAAACAGATACAATGTTTCAACCGCTGTACATGTGAAGGAACTGTCAGAGAACTGTCAGAAATAGCGGAGCTCTCTGCAGGGACACTTTTGCCGGCTGATCGGGAAAAATCCGACTCGCGCACCCGAAGTATGCTAATATTCGGATTCGCCGCGAATCGAATTTTTCCTGAAATTCGAAACGAATTCCACTTCGCCTGGTTCGATTCGCTCATCTCTAATAGTAAGCTAAAATTGTTTACACAGGACTAAATAAGATATCAAATTGATATATTTGTATTCCTTATAATGGTCAGCTAAATGGAAAATTCATCATTCTTTGCTTCATGATCCATGGGATATGACCCATATTCTTTCAAAGAACACAACCGTGCCCTTATAACATAACATAGCAGTATTTCTGTATTGTATTTAATGTTTTATATCTGATTTTATCATTATCTTCATACATTACTGGATTAAGAGAGAGTGCTCAGACATTGGATATATTTGGACAGTAAGTTACATTGATATGTACAACTGTTTACATCAACCTCCCCCCCTCCAAAACAAATTATAATATAGAACAAGGAGAGATGCAGAAGCCTCAATTTCCCAAGACTTTACACAAGGATAAAGATTTTTTCAGACAAAGTGAGTTTTCAAATCTCATTGGATGCTGCTAATAAATATCACTTTTTAAAAATAATAAACTTTATCTTGGTGTGTTAGATTGTAATTTATACCTACATTTTTTAAATGGTTCTACTGAAACTTTTACATATTTATCCATGTTATTACCTTTTAATTTAAATGAACCACAGTGAAAAAAAATGTAGTCTATATCTACTTAGCAACCCATTATTATACCCATATATATTACCTGGACATCATCCAGTACATCATATTTGGTTTCCAGTCAAGCTCTCTATAAACTATATGGTTTTCCAGATATATTTGACATATGCTGACAAGGGAAATTCCCTTTTGCCAATGAATGCATATGGCTGGTGATTCAAGTCATGGTATATTCTAAATATGAATGGCTTTGTAAGTGTCTAGGGAAGAGAATATCTGCTTGTGGTCCAATTATTTCCACACCACCAATCACTATAATATTTCTACGATGTTTAAATTATACGCTATTAAACTAATAAAATCTACTTAGCATGAGTATACTTATATGTAACCAGTAATGGTAAGTCAGTGCTGGGGCATTGTTCCAGTGGTGCCCATTTCTTGCTGGAATATATTTTGCTAAGAATTCCTTTAATGTCTTTTCTTCCACCACCATCAGAGCACATATTACAGTGGATTGCAGCTGGTATGCTTGTCACTTAGTACTGCATGGTGAGTCACAGACAGCTAATGCCAGTGGAGATCTCCAGTGCCCATGGTTTCATGTTTAATATATACCTTGATTGCATAGCAATAAAGGTTTAATATCAACAGCAAGTTAATTAGTAATAATATTAAACTAATATATCTTATTAATATAATTGCAATGTACAATTAGAACATCAACATGCTGCCCCCCGCCCCCCAAAATCAACTTTTACTACTCTAGAACAAAAACATTTGCATATCAGCAATTACCTTTGCATCCTGTGGGTTTTTGTCACCTTTCTTGTCACCATCAGGAGAGTCTGGGATTAAACAAGACAACAGTGGTGGAAATGACAGCCCTTATGTAGCACATTTCATTGTAAGACCTCAAAGCTTTTTTCAGAAACAATTAAAACACGGGATTTGCAATTATTATTACTCATTTATAATTGGTGCTCATTATCTGCATGGAGAGGATAAAAGGCTAAACTGACCTTCGGCACAATCAAGTCTGACCTTCATGTCAGAGACAAAATTATGGAAAGCAGCCATTACTGGTTAATCTGTGTGTTTGACATGTATATGTTCACAGGTTGAAAGGTGAACTGTACATAATAAAATGTTCATAAAAGAATACACCACACTGAAGACACAAAGGACAACAGAGTACTGAAAGCTGAAGCTGATCGTATTGCCACATTCAAACACAGTAGGGCAAATTCTTACCTCCTTCCTGCTTGCCTTCTTCTGGTTTGGGGGGCTCAGGCTCCTCATCAATCATAGCAGCAGGCTAATGGGAAATGACCCGGTTATAAAAATACAGACAGATAAAGACAAGGACAATTTTAATGAAATGAGGCTCTTTTATCCAAAGACTTCACATAATATTATGGACACAATTATCATATCAGTGCTTGTCTTGTTTTCCATTCAAACACTGCACTAGTTTTCACAGCAAAGAAAGACTGGAAGACCTTGGAAAAGTTCAAGCTTCAAATCTCAGGAGAGCAGCTAAAGCAAAAAACCATTAAAAAATGCAATTTTCTAAAAAAATATTACTTTACAGCTATAGCAGCTATATATATATATATATATATATATATATATATATATATATATATATATAGAAAATAGATATACATACATATACACTATATTGCCAAAGGTATTGGCACAACCCTCCAAATCATTGGATTCATGTCTTCCAATCACCTCCATGGCCACAGGTGTATAAAATAAGGCACCTAGGCATGCAGACTGCTTCTACATTTGTGACAGAATGGGTTGCTCTCAGGAGCTCAGTGAATTCAAGTGTTGCCACCTGTGCAATAAGTCCATCTGTGAAATTTCCTTGCTACTAAATATTCCACGATCAACTGTTAGTGGTATTATAACAAAGTGGAAGCAACTGGGAACAACAGCAACTCAGCCACAAAGTGGTAGGCCATGTAAAATGACAGAACGGGGTCAGCGCATAGTGTGCAGAAGTCACCAACTGTCTGCAGAGTCAATAGCTAAAGACCTACAAGCTTCATGTGGCCTTCAGATTAGCACAACAACAATGTGTAGAGTGCTTTATGGAATGGGTTGCCAAGGCCGAGCATCTGCATCCAAGCCTTACATGACCAAGTGCAAAGCAAAGTGACTGATGTAGTGGTGTAAAGCATGCGGCCACTGGACTTTAGAGCAGTGGAGACGTGTTCTCTGGAGTGACGAATCACTCTTCTCTGTGTCTGACAATCCGATGGACGTGTCTGGTTTTGGCAGTTGCCAGGAGAACGGTATTTGCCTGACTGCACTGAACCAAATGTAAAGTTTGGTGGAGGGGGGATTATGGTGTGGGGTTGTTTTTCAGGGGTTGGACTTGGCCCCTTAGTTCCAGTGAAGGGAACTCTTAAGGCATCAGCATACCAAGACACTTTGGACAATTTCATGCTCTCAACTTTGTGGGAACAGTTTGGGGATGGCCCCTTCCTTTTTCCACATGACTGCGCACCAGTGTACAAAGCAAGGCCCATAAAGACATGGATGAGCGAGTTTTGGGTGGAAGTACTTGACTGGCCTGCACAGAGTCCTGACCTCAACCCGATAGAACACCTTTGGGATGAATTAGAGCAAAGACGGCAAGCCAGGCCTTCTCGTCCGACATCAGTGCCTGACCTCACAAATGCATTTCAGGAAGAACGGTCAAACATTCCCATAGATACACTCCTAAACCTTGTGGACAGCCTTCCCAGAAGAGTTGAAGCTGGTACAGTTGCAAGAAAAAGTATGTGAACCCTTTGGGATTACGTGGAGTTTTGCATGAATTGGGCATAAAATGTGCTCTGAACGTCATCTAAGTCACAACAATAGAAGAACACAGTCTGCTGAACATAATACTACACAAACATTAGATGTTGCCATGGTTTAATTGCACATAACATGTAAACATTCACAGTGCAGGGAGGAAAAAGTATGTGAGGCCCTAGCTTAATGACTTCTCCCAGAGCTAATTGGAGCCAGGAGTGAGCCAACCTTGACTCCAATCAGTGTGATGATATTGGATGTGTTGCTGACAGCTGTCCTGCTCTTAAAAAACACACATCTGTTTTGGGTTTACTGGTTTCAAGAAGCACTGTCTGATGTGAACCATGCCTCGCAGAAAAGAGCTCTCAGAAGACCTACGATCAAGAATTGTTGACTTGCACGAAGCTGGAAAGGGTTACAAAAGTATCTCCAAAAGCCTTGATGTTCATGTGTCCACGGTAAGACAGACTGTCTTCAAATGGAGAAAGTTTAGCACTGTTGCTACTCTCCCTAGGCGTGGTCGTCCTGTAAAAATGACTGCAAGAGCACAGCGCAGAATGCTGCATGAGGTAAAGAAGAATCCCAGAATGTCAGCTAAAGACCTACAGAAATCTCTGGCACATGCTAACATTTTTGTTGACACATCTACAATAAGGAAAACATTAAACAAGAATGGAGTACATGGGAGGACACCACGGAGGAAGCCATTGCTGTCCAAAAAGAATATTGCAGCACGTTTGAAGTTTGCAAAAGAGCACCTGGATGTTCCACAGCACTACTGGCAAAATATACTGTGGACAGATGAAACCAAGATTGAGTTGTTTGGGAAGAACACACAACACTATGTGTGGAGAAAAAAAAGGCACAGCACACCAACATCAAACCTCATCCCCACTGTAAAACATGGCAGAGGGAGCATCATGGTTTGGGGCTGCTTTGCTGCCTCAGGGTCTGGACAGATTGTTGTCATTGATGGGAAAATGAATTCCAGAGTTTATCAAGACATTTTGCAGGAAAACGTACGACCATCTGTACGCCAACTGAAGCTCCACAGAGGATGGGTGATGCAACAGGACAATGACCCAAAGCATACAAGTAATTCAACAAAACAATGGCTGCAACAGCACAGAATACACCTTCTGGAGTGGCCCAGTCAGAGTCCTGACCTCAACCCGATTGAAATGCTGTGGCATGACCTTAAGAGAGCGATTCACACCAGACATCCCAAGAATATTGCTACACTGAAATAGTTTTGTGAAGAGGAGTGGTCCAAAATTACTCCAGATCGTTGTGCAGGTCTGATCTGCAACTACAGGAAACGTTTGGTTGAGGTTATTGCTGCCAAAGGAGGGTCAACCCGTTATTAAGTCCAAAGGTTCACATACTTTTTCCTCCCTGCACTGTGAATGTTTACATGTTATGTGCAATTAAACCATGGCAACATCTAATGTTTGTGTAGTATTATGTTCAGCAGACTGTGTTCTTCTATTGTTGTGACTTAGATGACGTTCAGAGCACATTTTATGCCCAATTCATGCAAAACTCCACGTAATCCCAAAGGGTTCACATACTTTTTCTTGCAACTGTATAGATGCAAAGGGTGGGCCAACTCCATATTGAACCCCAAGGACTAAGACTGGGATGCCATTAATGTTCATGTGCGTGTAAAGGCAGGTGATCCAATACGTTTGGCAATATAGTGTATGTGTGTGTGTGTGTGTGTGTGTGTGTGTATATATGTGTGTGTGTGTGTAAGAGTCAAGTTATATACTATAAATACTATCACAATCTGTGTGATCCAAATAAAACTTGCAGCGCAGCTCTAAGCTAAGATAGAGATCTCCCCCCCAGCTGAACACCATTCAGAGGTGTAAGAGCATTATCAAAGAGAATAAAAGGTCACTGCTCACCAACCCAGTGCATTAGTATGTAAATGAATGTGGCCTCAGCCAGAGCCACTCCAGCCACTTCCCATGACATTTTTTGCCCTGTCCATTGGGGCTTGGTCACAATTCACCAAGATGGGCGGAGTGACCATGACTGGGGGTGTGACTGGAGCAGTGCTGGCTGAGGACACATTCATTACCATACCAATGCACTGGGTAGGAGAGTGGCACCTTTTCTTCTCCTTCATAATAAATAATTCTGAGATAAAATGCTCACTATACCTATACACACTGTTCTTACGAAGTGAGTTTATTTTTCAAAATGAAATAAAAGCAATACTTTTGAAGGATAAGAAACCAAGTAATTAGGAATAAAACATTTAAAGGCTAACTGGAGTAGAAATCATATACAATTTTGGAGGCACAAGATCCCTTCATCAACTTGACAAAAGTGCCCTTTTTCCATGAAAGACCTAGGGCACTGATTGTAACCAATATAAATGATAGCATGATAGATGGGGTTTAAGCCATAATTATGTAGCTACTATATTAATATCCACAGGAGTACTTCCCTGATTGAGAGTCCGCCATGTGGATAGACTGCCCTTTAAGAAGGATGTGTCCTAAAAGTTATATCATATGTCACATGACTGAGCTGCACAAGGATTCAGGTCTTTGCATAAGGCCCCACTTTGAAAGAAGCAGGTTACTTCTTTGCATAGTTTTGTAGATCAGTAAAGATAACATCACCATAGTAAACATCAGTAATAAGTCATTATAATGCCATTATTTGTATTTTTCAGATGCAAGGCACTTGTTAGGGCACCTTGCTCCAAATACCCAGTTAACCAAAAAAAATTATAACAGTGCCTTTTCATCATTCTGACACACCCATGAAGTAACCTTGATCCATTTCAGAGTTAACATGATACCACAGTTCAATGAAATTATAGAATAACATAGGTTAAAAAAAAAAAGGAATTGTTACGTTAATACTGAGACATCCCTCTGACTCGGTGCATCATATATTGGGTGAACATATTACATGATCTTTGTCTAAAATTACACTGGTTAATTGTTGCATTGGGGTTAATTTACTAAAGGCAAATAGACAATTTACTTTGCAAGGGAAGTGGCGCATTGCAAAGGAACTTTCCTCAAAGCTTGGTGAATGAGGTGAAGCTCTGCTAACATCCATCAATCAATCATGTGCAGGCAAAATGCTGTTTTTTTTTGGGGGGGGGGGGGTTTCCTTGAACGTGATTGGGCATTCTTTGCAAAGCAAAATTTCACCACATTCACTAAGTTCTGGGAAAATTCACTAGCAATGTGCAATATCTCTTACAATGTGAAGGGCCTATTTATCTTTAGTAAATCAATGCAATTGACTCATCTTGCAAGGGAAATGATGCATTGCAAGGGAACTTTCCCCAGAGCTTAGTTAATGACGTGAAGCTCTGCTGACATCCATCATCTAATCATGTGCCAGAAAAATTAGTTTTTTTTTAATTTTCTTGGATGTGATTGAGCATTCTTTGAAAAGTGAAAGTTCACCACATTAATTACATCTTGGCACTGAGCACACGCAAATATGCAGCCTCTTGGTGGCTGGGCCTTGGCTTACCTATTGTAAACAGAAAATGTGCCAAGAGCACATGCCCTGCTCACTCCCTGCACATTTACCTGCACCTCAAGAAAAGGTTCCAATCTCTACTTGCTGTCAGGAGCTTTCTGATCATGTGACTGCCGTGACAGCCTATTATGGCAGTCGCATGACCCTAAGCCCCAAGTGCTGGGAAAATTCCAATGCAGTGTGCAGTTTCCCTTAAAATTTTAAAATGAAAGATCTATTTACCTTTAGTAAATCTATTCAATGGACTTAGATAATAACAGTGAACATTGTTCTTGGACTAGGGTCCCTTACTACAATTTGAATTGTTTTCTCTTTAACTTTGTTAATAATTTTGTTGTAAAGGATTGTGAGTAAACTTTTTAATAACTTTTTGATTGTTCAAGAAAATAGTTTTTAGATTGGGTATTAAAAAATGTATTTTATTAAATTACTTTATTTTTATTTATTTTAATTAAAGGTTCATTTTTTTAAAGTTTGTTTACTTTATTGCCATGACATTAGGCTGATAAGGTGCAAGTGACAGGCATTCTTAAAGGAGTTATCAGGGGTGTATTACACCCCTAATTTTACCTCTGCACTCTTTTGAATCTGATTCAGGACACAGTATGTTCGATCAGCTTCTTTCCCAGCCAAAAGCAGACAGAGCTTATCAGCTCTATACACAGAAATACTCTGAGCTGAGTGATTTTGGGTTCATACTTTGTAGGGCAGATCAGCAAACAGGCATTCACTGCTCTCCCTCCTGACACATGTCATGAAGGTCCTAGGCAACCAGGAGGGACAGGAAATCCTGGGACACATGGTGGGAGGGGGATCTGGCAAGGGGGTGGCATGTTCCCTACCATGTCAAAATGATCAGGTGGCCACTACTACTTAGCCAGCACCTGGAGTAAAAAGGCAAACAAATTCCAAATGGCTATAGTGGTTGGAAGTTTGTTTACATGCTGTTATGCTTTAAAGAATAACATGATCATACATATAAAATTGAGTATATTGCTTCTTAAACATCAAAGTTAAGAGAATCCTTACACTAACTATGACGTCTAGAAATTGAAAATTACTTCATATAAAGGTAAAGTGCAATTTTTAAAATAAGACCTGACTGTGAGATTTAATTGTCTTTGTCTTTAAATTCAACTTTGGATTGCTTACATTTTTCTTGTCATCTTGTCCCTTTTTTCTTTCCTTATTTGCCATGATAACTCCAGTTCTCAGTGTGTCGAACACTGGGTCTGTGCGGTTGGCAGCAGCTGTGGCACAAAGAACAAAAATTTCTTATTAATATCAAGGCAACAAGTCATTTTTATCTCAAGATAAAAAGGTCATATCATGTCAATAAAATGTAATGCTTACTATCAATGCTTGCTTTCTATATGCTGTGAATATTGCTAGATTGAAAATAAAATAATAATAATAATAATAATAGCATATATCTAAACCCAAGGACAAAAATGTAATATAGTGCAGCTTACCAGGGTTGAATTTGTTTTCTGTTATCAGGTTAATTACATTTAAGTCTGGCTATAGATGGTTTGAACCTTGGCCAGTTCAACAGGAACAGGCTGAGATTCCAACAGTCTATGGGCAGGCTGATTGCGCCCAAATCGATTGTTGTACTACTTGTGTACAACCAGCCTGTTGGATTTTTCATACAATCATTGCCAGCTGCTATAGCTGCTAGCAATAATCACTGTGCTCTCCCAGCAGGAACGGCTCTCCCCATCACAAGCCCCTTCATTGGGAGAACACAATAACTTAGCAGGAGTTGCAGGAAAGAAAATTGCATCATCTATTTACTTTGTAGCTTTACTCCAAGCAGAGAAACAAATCTGTTGATCATATCAGAAAATTATTGTATTTGTACCTTCCTGTGGATTCGCCTGAAATTTTAAACTTGCTATCAGGTTTTCAGCTATTTTATAATTTACCACTCTATGTACTGGAGATAAAGAGAGGAGAAGGAGTTTCAATTCAAGTCAGGATAGCAGCCTAGAGTGACAATGCTGAGCCTCCATAGAAATAGAATAGTGTGCTTTTTACCTTCAGGCAGGATGTGTAATACTGGCAAGATCACCAGGTATTTTGTAGACCTTATTTGTTGCCACAAGTTTTTGGAAAACAAAGAAAGAAAATGGAAAATGTAAGGGTTTTTTTATTTTTCAAACCCTGTGACAAAAAAATTATATCTGAAAATACTCACCATGCCTCTTATCAAATTCCTTGAGGTGTCTACTTTCCAAAAAGGGTTCATTTGGGGGTGTTTGTACTATCCTGGAATTTTAGGGCCTCCGAAACTGTGATAGGTAGTGAGGAAGTGACATGAGGAAATATGCCCTTTGAAAGCCTGAAGGTTGATTTAGGGGGCCTGTATGTGGCTAGGCTGCCAAAAAGTCTCTCACATGTGGTATCTCCATAGTCAGAAGTAGCAGAATGTGTTTTTGGGTGTTATTCCACATATACCCATGGCATGCATGAGCAATTTATCATTTAAGTGACAACTTAATTAAGCGACAAAGTAATTTTCAAAAAATTTCTGTCAAAAAATAAAATCTTCCATGGACTTAACATGCCTCTCAGCAAATAGCCTGGGGTGTTTACTTTCCAATAAGGAGTAATTTGGGGGGGTTGTACTGCCATGGCAATTTTAGCACCTCAAGAAATGTGATAGGCAGTCAGAAAGTAAAAGCTGCGTAAATTCCAATATATATACAAAGTTTCTAGACGCTATACCTTTCACACAAACCAATTAAGATACACGTATTTTACCAAAGGCATAAAGCAGAAAACATTTTGACCTAAATTTATCACTAAATTTGAGTTTATTGGATATTTTTTATAACAGAAAATAACCTTTTTATTTAATTTTCAGTCTTTTTTTCATTTACATCACAAAAAAAAATTAAAAACTAAGTGGTGATCAAATACCACCAAAAGAAAGCTCTATTTATGTGAAAAAAGACATCAATTTTGTTTGGGTACAGCATTGTATGACCACATAATTACCAGTTGAAATAGAGCAGTGCCAAAAAGCAAAAAATGGCCTGGTCAGGAAGGGGGGGAAACTTTCTGGGCTGAAGTGGTTAAGAAAGAGCAAAATAGGGAAAAAAAACAAACAGAATTTTTTTTTTTCATTTGTACAACGTAAATAGCTTTGCAATTCTTTGTACCGGTATTATAATCTTTGTGTCATTTTAAAAAAGACAAATGAAAAAGGTAACACCATTTTTTTTTTTTTGCTACGAACACTTATAAGAGTAGAAAAATGTTATTTTGTTACTTTTGTCTTGCAAAATGGATTGCAAAAATTATCTTTGAAAGACAGTATAACCAAAAGAAAGCATTTAAAAGTTAATTTTGCTCTTGTTACATGTGAATAGTGATGTCTTTTCACTAACCATCAGCCAAATGAGTATCTTAAAAAATGGTGGCAATATGTCTGATGCAGAACCAGAAGATCTGTGTGGTAACATTTATGGAGGCATTAACCCTCAGTAGAAAAAACATTGATATTATCATAATTAACCAGATGCATAAAACCGCTTCTGACACTTTACTTCAGAATATCTCAATTAATTTGAAACAAGCCAGAGGACATCTCTTATAAAAACAACAAACAGCATTTTCTAATTAATAAAACAATTAAAAGGAGACACAGAAATAACTAGCTTTCTTCAAACATTCTTCCAAACAATCATAGAAAAAAAATAATCTTTAACAAAGACACTTTCTAGCCCTTCCAATTATGAATAACCTATTCAGTCAGAATAACCTATACAGACAAGTTGATGGGACTCATTTAAAGTGTATCAGTAAACTTGAAATAATTAAAAGCAATTTTCTGGAATGTGATTCTTGTAAAGACTACTATACCGATTCGTAGAAGACAACAAACCTTGAAAAAAAGTAAAGGACACACTCACTGTAGACAAGAACTCATTTCATGACAAACTGCTTAGGGATATTAAATAAGGCAAAGAAAATATTGATAAAGCTGGATTTTAAGTCTAATGCAACCAGTTCAGGAATTACTTACAGTTTATGGATTGTATGTGGGGCACAATGTTACAAATGTTGGAAAACTTTGAATACTAATCATTAATTAGAATAATAAAAACAATTGATACAAGATTCCCTACTTTATTGAAGCTGAAATCTAAATGAAGAAAAGGAGCTAATATGCCAGAGGACATTCAAGTAACATTGTCAGTAACTTTACCTCAATTCCTTATTGTCATTGGACAAAACAAATCTCATTAGTTGCAGCTAGTTTGTGTGTATTTTTGATTTGTCATTCAAATAAATATGATAAAAATCCACATGGTTTTCTGTTTCAGCTGCTCTGTTCTCTATTCCTTGGTATCAAAATGTAAAGGAAAACTACATTTTTAAAATCTTTTGAAGTCTAACTGATACTCAGTAGACCTGATGATGAAGTTGATTTTGAAAGTCTGGTGAGAAGAGTATGGGGACATTTTGGGCAATCCATTGGGGTTATGTAATGTTAGCAGGTAAATAATCCTTTAGTTAGACCATGAAACATTAAAGCAATTGTCTCACTGTGTGTGGGACAAATCTAACATGGACAAGTTATAGAGATGGTCATATAAACTTACAATATCATAGATTTATAACATAAGCTCAACAAATTTCAATTACATACATAATTTTGCTCAGCAATTTTAATTCTCAGAAAAGACTCTAAATGTAAAAATAAAGTCTATAACAAAAGTATTATTTTGTGATATTGCATACCATATGCTATTTAATGCATGTAATAGCATGGTTTAATTGGTTAGGCTGGGAAAGGCATATCTACTAGTTCAACCCTTAATTATAATTATAAAAGTTTTTCCTAGAAGTGAGAAAAAAACCTTTACAAAGCTTAGCAAAGTAGAAATTTTCCTTTATAAGTGCAATAAAATCTTATACTCCAAAGACAGCTGCATATATTTCTGGACCAACACCCTTACGTATTACTTTTTTCTTTTTTTTAATCTAAATTGTGTGCTAAAACCAAAACCAATTACTGTGGATGAATGTTCTCCAGGATCACAGAAAAATATCTTTTTCATATTCCAAGATTAAATGACTTTTTTAACTGCTGGGGGTTGCTGGCATAGTGAGCTTACAGTGAACTTATCAATAAAATTCACCATTTCATGTGAATCAATAGAGTGCATGATGGCATTGCCTAACCACATTGTAATTTTGCATTTTAAATATCCATTTCATCCCATGAGTAAAAGCACTGCCTAAAGGGTGTTATATGTAAGTATATCTAAAGCCAAAACACTTTTTTCCATCGTTTTACATAGAGTAAGGGAGGGTTAAAACTTCCCTTCAATTCCTGTGAAGTAGACTCAACAGATAGTTAGAGAATATCTTCTGTAACACCCTCTAGTTAGGTAAATTTAGTATTGGCTCACAAGTAGCTAAAGTGAGCATGTCTGTGGGGTTCAAGCTCAGGTCAAGCTGGAGAACTCTGCAGGTCAGACTTCTGTCGCCTCCTCTGGTTCTGGAAGTACAGGGGGTACAGGTGCAAGGATCTGAATATTCATGGGAGTTTCACCAATCCCCAGGCAGGAGGTCTGGCATGGTGGTAAGATGTGCCCAAAAATATTGAAGAGCCTGGCTAGCAGTGGTTTGTTACTTGTTGGAGAATGGAGTGCTGAGTCAAGGTTCATGAGGCCTAGAGGGGACCCAGGGTTGGGGGTTTTGTCTCCAGGCAGGGGCTGAGGAAGGAAGGAAAGAAGCAGTTTGATCAGAGGGATTTTCACCAGCCTTCAGTCTCATCCAGAAGACACCCTGTATTTCAAAGGAGGATTTGTATAGCAGGAGGCCTGAAACAGCAGTCTTTGTTAAGCAGCAGGATTTCAAGGGACAGTGGGAGTACCTCTACTTTCACCACCCAAAGACTATAGGGGAGAGACAGCCAGGTGCAATACCCAGCTAGCCATTCAGGAGGGACAGCTTCTGGCAACCTTGACCCCTGCTTGGGATAATCCTGTGTTAATGTGCCAGTACTTGGATCAGTATTAAAAGTCATTTGCCAGTCTGTTGGGAGTAATTTTTCCCAGGAAAAACATTCTGGAGTTTTGTACAAAGAAGAGAGTGCAGTCACAGTAGTCCTCAAAGTTCTTCTACACTTTCCACCCCCCAAAGCCTACAAGGGAGATTGCTGCTGAGTGCAATATTCA